AAAACCCCATTTTATAAAATCCCCTCTATTTCTTTCATTCCTTATTTTTAATCTCATTTAATGTTTTCTTAAGCCTCCATACCACCTAAGGTTGTAAAAGAAACTCATAATCAACCAGAAAAACTAATCAATTGAAGCTTACCTTTGGGAGCTATGGAGGAAGCTTATGACATGGAGGAAGCTTATGACGTGAAGGAAGAAGAAGAAAGAGCTTTTTGTTGATATTTACTTTCCCCCTTTTTTCCCCCATTTTCCCCTTACCTTTTATATCTTATAATTAAGAATTTTAAATTCATTTTTCTTTAAAGGACTAAAATGCCCTCTAAACCATCCCTTGTTACAATTTAGTCTAATTCACTAATCCAAATCATTTTCTCATCTTTTACCAATTATTCAAATAAATCTTCAAATTTTAATTATTTTCAATTTAGTTTCTAACCTAATATTTGGGGTATTACATTCTTCTTACGCGTTATATTTTTGTGTAGTGAAATGAGATATTAGATTCTTTAAGTAAAATTTAATATTTGAATCATGACATTGTAAATGAAGCAAACTGGGTTGTGAAAATTGTCATCATAATGAACATATGCATACTAGATCTGAATTAGTGACTAATAGATTGAATACCAGTAGTTAAATAAAAACATTTTTTCTATTTAAACTTTAAAATTCTAATAAAAAATCGTGTACTGTGTAAAAAAGTTGTCTTGAAATTTAAAATTAAAGAAAAATTGGATAAAAATAATTTTTCTATTAAAACTTTAAAATTCTAATAAAAATTCATGTCATGTGTAAAAAAGTTCTATTGAAATTTAAAATAAAGAAAAGTGGGATTAATTTTTAATAAAATTTTAAAATTAAAGAAAAGTCTTATTCTCTTATATTAATAATATTTTAAATACCAACAAGATTGATTCAAGTATTAAGTAACTTGATATCGCTTAAGTAATATCTCGAGTTTGAGACCTTGTATATGCAGAAAATCTCTGTTGGTAGACTTACCCACCAAAACCAGATGTGCGATGCGATTCGATCCAAATTAGTCAAGGCAAAGCTTTGGAACCGGAATAGCAACAAACCAAATATATTTTAAAGAGATTAAACTTATTTATACTCGTGTGATGTATAATTAATTATTAAAGATTAAAAAGATAAATAAATTTACAAGATAAAATTAACTAAAACAATAATAAAAAGATTACATAAGAGTTTTATTATAATACAAAAGTCATAATAAATATTAAGATAATAATAATAAAAAAGAGAGGGATTTAATATTTGAAAAGTAATAGAGTAAATTTCACATGATATTCTCAAATTATGATTACTATAAATTGATCTTTAAAATTTAAAATATTTTATATCAATCTTTAAATTTTGATAATATTTTAAATTACTCCTGCAATCAGTTTTCTTACTATTAATATTGTTTCATTTTGATTATTGTGTTAACATGTCGTTAATTCAAATGATTAAAAAATTTAATATGTTTTAAGGTCTTGAGAATTGAACATGTGACATTCTATAAATAATTTAATATGTTTAAGATCTTGAGAATTGAACTTTTGATCTTCTTGGAAAAAAATAATCTATTTCTAAAGCTCTTAATTTTTTTAGAAGTTCACAGGTTCAATTCTCATGATCTTAAAAAACAAATTAAATCTTTTTAACCATTAGAATTAACGCTACATTAATAGAAGGATTAAAATAAATGATAATTATAATTTAAGGATTGAAATAAAAAATCTTAAAATTTATGAATTAATTTAGAATTGGGTACATAATATTTTAAAATTTAAAAATAAATGTCTTAGTTTTAGAATATCTTGTACACTTATCTGGAAGTAATACTTCAATAATAATGTCATCTTGGGATGAGTCTTTTTTTTATTAAATAAAGATATTATATTTAAGATAAAAATTAAAATTCGAATTTATATAAGATAAGGTAATATAAATATTTTTAACTGCTCGTTGATTAATGTATCTCTTGGGATGAGGCGTTTTACAACTAATTTAGTGGATTATGGTGTGGGTAGGTAATATGCGTGGTACGTAGGCTTGCTGATCTTTGCCTACTCAACCTACTCATTTAAATTTGGTGTTTAGCCTTTTTCAGCCTTTCCTTATCTTCCACATAGACATTCCATTCGGGTCTCCCCCGCACTTCATCCTTTTTCCCCTTTAGGTTTATAAAATATTAAAAAGATAAACTAATGATGCTTTTTATTTAAATTTTATATAATTTTCTTCGTTAAATTCAATATAAAATTTGATAACTTTTGTTTTTATTTAATTAAGATGTGTTCATCGAATGTTAACTGTCGTTAGACCTTTAACAAATGGTTGATGTGTGAATTTATAAAATTAAAAGGGTAAATTACACAAATAATCAATAATATTTGAGTAAGTTTTTGTTTTCCCACAAAAGTTTTAAAAGTAACATTTTGGTCACTAAAACATCAAATAGGTCCTTGAACAATGATTTTTTTATCTAATTTATCCCAAAAGCTTTCTAAGTTTTCCAATATATATATATATATATATATGTACTTTTAAAATTTTTAAAGATAAAAATTAGAATTTTTTTTACATGAAACAATTGAATATTTCGAATGATAAACAAAAAATTACAAAGCTTTTGGAATAAAATAGATATAAAATCATTGTTCAATGGCTTATTTGTATAGTTTACCTTTTTTAATTTTATAAATTCATTGTGTCATGTCAGCAATCCGTAGAGGTCTAACGTCAATTAACCCTTAATGACAACATCTTAATTAAATAAAAATGAAAGTGATCAAATCTTAAATAAATAAAAAGGAAAGTGACCAAATATTATGTTTTTAATATTATGTTTTTTTTTAATTTAGTAAGAAAAAATGTACGAAACTTAAACAAAAATTATCAATCACGTAGTTTACTCATATTAAAAATTGTAACTTTTAGGTGGATTTTGATTGATCAAATTTTTTTATTTGAATTTTACTTAAATAGATTTTTAAATTTTTTTTAGTTAATTGTATTATGCATCTTCAAATTATGACTCTTATTCTAAGTTAGTCCCTAAAGTTTTAAATATTTCAATTTCATCCTTAAACTATGACTATCATTCTAAATTAGTCATCAAACTTTTGAATATTTCATTTTCATCCTCAAACTATGACATTCATTCTAAATTGATCCCCAAACTTTTTGAACACTTGAATTTCATCCCAAACTATACGTATATATTAATCACATATTTTGTTAATAAAATCGTTAGACCAAGTTATATTATTATATATTTGAAAAAAAATAGGTTAAACTATGCTTGAAATTAATTACATATTTGGATGATTGTGGTGATGAAATTGAAAGATTCAAAAGTTTGAGGACCAATTAGAATTAGGGTCATTGTATCGAGTCTGACTTATGTAGATACAATTTTGGTTTTTTTAAAGCAAAAAGATTTAATCGAGTCTAGCTTATGTTACTGCGATCATTGTATCGACTTCACTATGGTGCACACTTTTTCCTCTATGTAGGATTAGAGAGGTTTCTTAACGAGAACCATAGTGATCGTCTCTGTGTTTTGTATGCGTAAGTAATAAAATCATACAAAATGCCTTTTCAAAAAAAAATTAGAATGTTAAAAAAAATTAGTTTGTGGATGAAATGAGAATGTTCAAAAGTTTATAATAAAATTCATAGTTTAGGGGTGAAATTATAATATTTAAAAGTTTAAGGACCAATTCAAAATGAGGATCATAATTTGGGGACATATAATGCCATTAACTCAAATTTTTCTAATCAAATTATATTTAATGCTTACGGTCCTATTAAAATAAAGAATAAATTTTAAAATATTATTTTAGTTAGTTTTAATATATTTTTATATTATTAAAATTATTTATATAATTTTATAAACTTAATAATATTTATTTTTTAAACTCATAAAATTTAAATGGTCTAATTTTTTTTCTAAAATAATCATTTATCCAATAGGTCAATCATAAATGTTGTTTATAGATTAGACAACCAATTGAAATTTGTTTTTATCTCTTTCGTTAATATTTTCTTTTTTGCTTATACACCAAATAGGCCCTCATGAAATATAAAAAAATCAAGTAAGCCCATGTTTGAAATACCAATTCAAATGAGTCTTTATTTGAGAAGTTACGACCAGATAAGTATTTAAAATTGAATTAAATGTTATGATAAAATACATTAGTAGTCCCTAAAATATAATTTTTGTATTTGTTTTAGTCACTAAACTTTCAAAATAATTATTTTTATCAAATTATTAAAAATGTTCACCACGAAATTACCTACCATTTAGGCGAATGGTATGAAACATTAACTCAATGGATAACAGCTCACGTGGCCCTTCAATTATAATTAAAAAATGAACACGAATCGAGCTATTATAGTGGTTAAAAGGATGATTGCTATCCTTAGAGGTCTCGGGTTCAAACACGACATTTGTGGGGGTGTTTTAGCTTTCATTGTCAAATGTTTGAGAGTCTTTCGAACATATATTACCTTGTAATCACTATAATCCAGACTAATCAAAAAACTAATTTTGATATTTTTTTAATAATTTTTAAGCAATAATTCCACGCAAAAAAATTAAAGAAATCTAAAAACATATAATATCTTAAAATCATTAAAATATTTTTTGAATAGTTGGGTGGCTAAATATGTAGTTTTCCCAAGATATAAATATGAACCAATATATGATTTGTAACTTTTATTATATATATATATATATTTGAATAGTAACTTTTGTTATATTTAAATGTTAATAATAATCTTAAATCTAAAATAAAGTTGGGTCACAAAGACTGACACCCACTTAAAATAAACTATTTAGACCCATGAAAAGCCTAAATGACAACAATATCAAATTAACCCTAGTTCTGTAAGCCACTCTTAACACCATATATTTTCACCAAACCCTACTTTTCCGCTTTCTCCATTGGTCGTCGCCGAGTTGAAGAGGAACCTCCAAACAAATGAAGTACAACCCTCGAGTCTCCTCGTCTCGCCGTAAGAGCCGCAAGGCCCATTTCACGGCACCATCGTCCGGTCGCCGCGTTTTGATGAGCGCACCACTCTCATCCGATCTGAGGTCCAAGTACATTGTCAGGTCCATGCCGGTCCGCAAGGACGATGAGGTCCAAGCGGTTCGCAGTACCTATAAAGGCCGCGAAGGGAAAGTTGTACAAGTGTACCGTAAAAAATGGGTGATTCACATCCAGGGGTGTAAAAAGTTGACCCGACCAGTAAAACTGACTGAAACCGACTCGAGTCAAAACTGTTTTGACCTACGCTGTGGTGATCCAAAACTGACTCAAATCGGAACTGGTGCTAACCTAAACCCGAGTTGGACCTGAAAATTGTGGATCTGAACCCGACCTAAGAACGATTTGAACCTGAATTGAACCTAAAATATGATACCTGAACCCAAACTGCATCCGACTGATGTGAACCCGAACTCGAGATTGACCTGGTAAATAATTGGTATTACCCGAGCTGTTTTCAACCTGACCTGTTATGAATCTGACCTGTAATTGACTCAATCTGTAAATGATCTGACATGTTGTTAAAGTGATATGATATTATCCTGACTTATAAGTAATAAGTTACAATTAATATAATTATGTTAATTTAAATTTATAATAAACTTAAGATAATTAAATTAATATGATTACTTTTTGAAATTTAGTTTTTAGATTAATTATAATTTGAATACTATAAATTTGGTTTTTATATTAATTCCAATTCTTTATATTATTTATAATTCTTATATTATAAATTTTATTTATAATCACTAAATTAAATTTAAATATTGTCTTATTAAACATAATTTTATTAAATTATATAAATTGAATTAAAATATTCATAAATCTAATTTACTTTTAATGTGAAAATTGATTAATAATTTAAGTATAACTTAACTTGAAATTTTAAAATTAAAATATATTAGTTGAAATGATGAACTTATTAAATATTTGAAACTGGAATAACATTACAAATACTAAAACAAAAAATTTATAAATGAAGTAAATTTTATTACACTTGAATACAGTAAAATTACAATAAAATCAACTAAATAAAATACATTTATGTTGAAATAAATGCTCTCAGATCTTATAGCTAAGGTTTTACAAGGCTAAAAGTCTAACTATACTACCAGAAATATCATCATCGAGCCTTTATACCTAAATGTTGCCAACATATTTAATTATGGGCAACTTTCTAGCTTTAAAAGCCAAAATGCCACCAACATAATTCCACATGAGTAACTATTTAGATAAGAATTTATAAGGTTCAAAAATTGATTTCAGTCAGACCAACAACAATAATTTACAAGGCATCAGTGAGTAATAGATAGTAGCAACCGACAAGCATCAATGTACCAATTCAGCAAGCATCATTGCATCAATTTAGCAAGCGTCCTGCATTAAGAAAGTATACAATCAGTGGTAAAGCCAAAGGGAATTCGATGGCCAACAGTGCCAAACATTTTCGACTTTACCAAACCCTTACAAATATCAAGTAGAAGCAAGCAATATCAAATAGAAGCAATATCAATGTACCAATTCAGCAAGCATCATTGCATCAATTTAGCAAGTGTCCTGCATTAAGAAAGCATACAATCAATGGTAAAGCCAAAGGGAATTCGATGGCCAACAGTGCCAAACATTTCCGACTTTACCAAACCCTTACAAATATCAAGTAGAAGCAAGCAATATCAAACAGAAGCAAAAACAGAATCAAGCACCAAGTATTGCTTCTTGTAAGGCACCCTACAAAAAAAAAAGAATTATTAATTAACTATTTGAAACTTTTATTAAATAAACATAATAAATATAAAATATTAAGTTACCTTTGAAGGGAATAAAGAAGACAGAATCTCCAATTCCAATGGTTTCAAAGACCATAAAACACCCTAAATATTTAAAAGATAAATTAAAATAATTAATAAACAATTTAAAATATTAATGACATTAACATAAAAAAATTTGGATTACCTTTACATAGAAGACTCGTTAACCACAATAAGATATTCTTCATCCTTATCCTCCAACTCAAAACCATACAACCAATTACAGGTTGTTACAAAAATCTCAATATTTTTAGATAAGAGTTTAGCTCTTAATTTGTTCAAAATTCGACCCCCCATACTAAAGGATGATTCAGATGCAACAGAAGTAATTGGAATAGCCAATATATCTCTAGTCATGCGAGAAAGTATCGGATATGAAATACTTTGATTTTTCCAATAATCCAAAATATCAAAGTCAGTTTCTCCAGTATGAGGGACAAGAGGCAAACTGATGTAAGAATCAACATCATATCGTCCACTCCTTGAAGCAGCTAAATTGACATCAAAATTCTGAAAAAATAAAAGACAAAAATTAGTAAATGCAAACAGGAAATAAATAAGATAAAATTCAACTTAAAATTGTAATAAATAACCTGAAATATATTTGATTTTCTAAATTTTTGAGGTCGATTGGAACTTGAGTCACTTCTGCCTAAGGATGTATTACTTTGGATAGAAGAAGAAGAGGAAGAACCACAAGGTGCATTTTTTGAATAAAATACATATAACTCAAGAAACTCATTATAAATGAGACTTACCCTCCTTTGAACATCATCCTCAACATAAAAAACATTGTACAACTCTTTCAAAAATTGTAATTTATATCAAGGATCAAGTAAAACAGCAAAAGACAGAATCATTGAGTGATCAGACCAATATTTCTCATATAGTTCAAGCATGGGTTTAGCCATTGCAGAAATACCTTCATATGGATCATTATGTGCATAACACAATAATTTTTCATTTGCAACAACGTTAGCCAAATACATGTAACATCCCAAAAGCCGAGTCAGTGACTAAAATGCAAATTCTGAAAACTTGGTGCTCAATTTTGAAACAAGTTAAAAGTTTAGGGACCTTATTGGAGAATTTTGATGTTGAATTTAATTGTAAAGTTTGAGAGTAATAAGGGTATTATGGTCTTTTCTAAGAGAATATTTTTATTTTTCTCTTTAAAGGGGTAATACACGTGGGAATGAGAGAGAAAAGAGGAAAAAATATGGAGATGAGCTTCTTCTTCCTCCTCTCTACCGTGAGCTCCATTTTCTAAGGTGAGTTTTGGTTAAATGATTATTTCTTGAGTTCTAAGCTTAGTTTTGATTCTTGGCGTATTAAGAAAGCTTAAAGGAAGCTTTAAGTGACTTAAAACTCAAAGATGAACAAGTTATGAGAAATTAAGAAAAATGAGTTTTTAAGTGAATTATTGAAATAGAAGGAGTTAATAGATTTTAAAGTTGAATTTGACTTTTCATCAGTCAAAATAAGAAATTCGGAATGATAGAAATGAATTTGGAACATATTGATTTATTGGTTTAATTATTGAATCTAAGCATGTTTGTGGGATATGGGATGTTATGATTAGTTAAAGTGAAATAAGTTGATTTTTTTAAGTATAGTTAAGTTTCAAGGGTTAAAAGAAAGTTAAGTAAGAAGAATTAAGTAAGTTTGAGTGAATTTTCGGGTGAAAACAGTATGTTCTGGGCAGGGTGTATCGGTACACTATGAACAAGTACCAATACACTAAGACCAATTTTGAAGAACATCTTCATGGTGTATCGATACATTAAGGAATGTATCGATACCCCCTTGAAATGAAGAATTTCGAATGTAATTTGTGTACCGATACATAGGCAGTGTACCGATACACCGTGAAGGGATATATCGATACCCTATAGTGTGTACCGATACACTTAATAGGGGGAATGAAAATAGATCTTTCTTTTAGTTTAAGAAATGAAAATTAGAGTATGCCAAGTGGAATGGTGATATGTATATTATACGTATGATTGTGTAGATATCAAACGAGAGCAATGTCCGGACAATGTGTCAATTAATAGCCATCAAGAAGAGATAGGGAATTGGTATTTACTAGTGAGGCCAGGTGAGTGCATATTAGTTTATATATGATTTTAAGGGAAATAAGACTTTAGATGAGTCTATTTTCTATATTATGATGCATGAATTCATGAACAGAGGCATGTGTTGATATGATTGTTGTGTATGACTTAGTAGTTGAATATGATTGCATATGTTGTATATGTTATAGTTTCTATGTGAAATATGTTTGTATGATATATTTGAATATAAGAGAATAAAATGAACTTATATGATATGTTACAAGTAATTACATGAGAAATGATGTGAACTTCATAAGTATATGTATATGGAATATAGTGGTGAACTATAGGATTATGTGAATAGAATAATTATGATTGTATGGTTAGAATATACTTTGTAGGTGAACTAGTATAATGGAATTATATTAGAAAATGAGAATTTAAATAAAATATTTGAGATAAATAAATAGTACATCAAATAGGAAATATGTACATAAATAAGTTGTATAGGAAATTCTACAAGTTTCAATGAAATGGTGATCTAAAACTTGTTAAAGTCTTAGGTGATATAAAACACAGTATAAAGATCTAGGAAATGAAGTCATATGAGAATATCAAATGAATTAAGTTATGATAAGTTATGATAATATATTTATTTGGTAAATTATGTGAAAAATGAACTAATAGAATATAAAGAATTAGTACACAAGGATATGATATAGAATATGTAACAAGAGTCTATGGGTTATATGATAAATAGAAGTATATGGAAATAAGAGATAATATAGATGACTATGGTATAGATATTATATGATTAAGAAATATGAAAAAAAGAATGAGTCAAAGGATAACAAGAGAATGTGATATAAGATGAGTAAGGTAAAATAAATGATTATATGAACATGAAACAATACACAATACTATATGATATGATGATATAGGTGTATGTATATATATTTGTTACATGAATGTGTATATGAGGTTTTATGATTTGATAGTATAAAGTATGCATTAATTGTTAAGAGTTATAGTTACCTTATACATTTTATATGCCTCACTAAGTCATCGACTTAGCGTGTGAGTGTTTCACACGTAGGTTTCTGGAAGCAAATAGAGAAGCGAAGTAGCGATAGTCAAGGCAAGACAGGTTAGCCTCCCCTTTCATATGATTAGATCAGAAAAGAGTTTGTAATTATATGTATTTGGTTATTGGAAATAGTTGGCATGTAATTATTGTTTTGAATTATATACGCTCTGATTAGTTTTGAAGATACTTTTATTTTAATGATATGAATTTTTATTGAATAAAAGTGGAAATTTTCATATTGGTATACAAATATAAGTTTTGAAAAGTCAATGTGACACCTTGGACTCGGATCTGGGTCGGATACGAGTTGGGGGTACAATACAAGCTAGAAGTGGCATACTTAGAACCAGAGAACAAAGA